TCTGCTGGAATGGGATTTGCGTGGGGATGCGGCTTCGCGACTTCGATTACGAGGCTAATTGATATATCATAACGATGACGTGACAAATACGCCAATTTACCTAGCAAATGCGACGCGGTAAGTTCATATTGGGCTTCATTCCGCCCATCCCCCGTGATGCCTCTGCATGTTAGCTGCACATCTACAATGCCAAGACGAGCTCCAAGCTGGGTAGCCAGTGCTCTCCAGTCAGGGGCGATACTGTTCAGCGACGCCGGCCAGGGAGGGAATTTGTATGTCTGGCGCCAGCATTGGTAAGTTATTTCTAATATCGGCACGTCTCGTGTCTTATTTCGTCTAATACCAAAACCTGACCTCTGCGAATAAGCTGATACTTACCTTAGGTACACAGGTAAACAAATAAGGTAACTACCTCGCTGATTTTTTACCCGCCAGCACAACTATGGGCACGTTGGTAAAGCTACTCGGGTAGATACAGGTCGTCATGAGGAATTACGTACTCGTGAACTCCAGTTTCGACGAGGCTATACACAGTTCCGTTCCGAGACTTAGTCAGTTTACCGATGCAACTGTATTGGAACCTTCTACGTAAGACATGGCTAACAGATTTTCTGTAGAAGGAATCACTCATTTAGCATCCGTGTTATTTCCGCGGCCTCTCCCCCCTCTCCCCCCTTAAATTGGTCAGAATCAACTATTAGGGGTATAGAGCATACGGTCCGAGCCGCTACCCATTACAAAAAGTATTATTACTTTTCTAGACCACGGAGCAAGCTAGTAACTGAGGGACCTTTGTACCAGACTCACCCGTAGAGTGACTTGACTCCGAGTCTCACGTCTCAGCGGGTCTGCTTGAGATTGAAATCAACTCCCTCAACTTGCTTGACTATCTCCTAAAGCTTAAGTCCGAAACAGTATACCGAACTTGGAAAGCAGAGGTTGTAAGCGATGCTGGATGCCGATTCGCTACAACATCGTCCTATGTCGGCTCGAAATCCTACCTAGTTCAACACATGGACTATTCTCTTTCAAGGGAATTACCTAGGTATAGTATAACACGTGTTCAATGGTTTCGGTCAGCCCACAACATAATATTATTGATACACGACGTGAAGAATTGGTTACATGATAGACATGATGCGTCTGCCACTGGGTAATATTTTTTCTCCTATACAAGACCCCTGGGTTACTTCCCAGACCAATATTACAGCCCATGTTTCACAGTGAGTATCTTCTTATCTTCTCAAGTATATAGTAGAGAGCAAGGTCGTGCTAATCGGCTGTATTATTTCCCTACCTAAGGTACCTAGTTTTCATGGTCTGACTCCCTACCTACATAAGGCAAGATCATCCTGCTGTATCCCGCAACTTGTCTTGTTTGGGAACCGCAAAACCCGTGATAGTCAGTCGTTCCGCTAAGTTCGCTTAGACTTGAAATTCTATTCTTTCTTGCCCTCGCGGCCTTCTTTCCACGATTATTGGTACCGACTACGTAACTAATACCTTGAACCTGGTTAGCCAGCAGCTTGGAACCTATGTCATCTCAGCTCTCGTCACACTCCCCACATACATGCTATAAACCTTGAAGGATTCCGTACAACCCATGTAGAAAGATATGACTTATAACATTTCACATTCGGCCTAAGGGGAGGAATGTCTTACTTACGTGCAGCCCGGACCGCTAGCACCTGTTTTGCCTTTGCATAGCCGCCACGGGTAGCGATCCCGCGTACGTACGGTCTCTACTCATTCGCGGGTCGCAAGAGATCGGTCGAAGCCAAGACGTGATATAAGCTGACTAAACCCCTCCTAGCACGCAGCATAGACTATTTGACGGTAGCAAACCCCGAAAACGTATGATCCTCTATAAAACCCTCTATACGACCTAGGTGCCCCGTTATACCTACCTGGTAAGAAGTTACATCCCCCTCTCCCCCTAGCTATAATGGCGGGTTCCCTATACCTGACCTACCTAAGCTACCTAACATACGGGATGTGTCTTCGGATCATTGGCTTCCCCGTTACTTATAACCCGGCAGCCTTGGCGGCGCTCGCACTTACACGGCGTCTGAGTAATCATAGTATAGCACTTGGGCGGCAGGCGCTACGACGTGACCCCAGGTATACATTTCCGACAGGTAGCAGGGATCAGACCCCTAAGTATCTGCTACATGGCGCTCTGCCGCAAGGCTGCATGTATGTGATTCTGCGGCATGGCAGGATCCGGAGTTTGTCACATTACCCAAAGTTTGGCTCGCTACAAAGCCGTATCTTATATCTGGTTGATCCCAGGATATATCAGAGAGCCCGTTGTTTGCCTGCCTGCTTATCCCCGTCCCGCTCGCTTGGGGTGAGGGGGGTCTAGACCAGATGATCGTCGGCGACGGATACGGGGGGCAGCAAAGAATAAAATAAGATAACAATGGAAACGGGGAAAATAATAAGATGAAAGAAAAAATGTGACAGGTCATTTTACGAGAGAAACGCGGGATCGGGCCGCGGAGTCTTGACTATTTCTTTTGCTAGGTCTTTTCCACATCGATGCTACTTCAGAGTGAGTATAGTCAGATGCAACCGACAGGCTGGATCCAATCTGACGCGCCAGAAGCGACCACGGTCTAAGGATAGGCCCCTGTCTCTCTTCCGTCTCTGTCTCTGTCTCTCTCTCTCTTCTCTTTCGCGAACTTCGGTTGTCAGATTTAACATGTATGACGAAATGAAAAGAGCGGTACTTATACATGCACCGCTTGCGACATAGGCGATTACGACTCTGAAGTCCATGGCTGGAACCGGCCCGGAGCAGTTCTTCCCCCAGCGACCAGTGCCTACTGTCCTCCCGCGCTGGACTGTTACGCAACTACATTCCCCATTCTATCTACACGCGGGGATTAAGTCAGAGGGGGGTAAGGGAGCGTATCTGGCTTCGTCGGCGTCCAAGCAAGCGGTCGGTCGGGTATGTGTTTTTTTGATGCTGGAATGAAACGGTACCTAAGCTCCGGTTTCCCCATTTGCGCACAAAGTCCGATCGCGAAGAACACCGTGACGGCCGCATCGCATACATATATATCGAAGAGCCAAGAGAAAGAGAAGAGAGGGTGTATGGTACCCTACTTCGTGTCTTGCCCAGTGATCGATCAGCGTGCTCTTTTATTAATTACGAGGCGATCTGTCGTGGACTTTGCAACCCATCCTTGCATGGTGCTGTTCTCCTGCACAGCCGCGTCTGCGCTTGCGCCTGTTTGTCCGTCCCAGACGTGATTGTCGAAGAAGTATGTGCCGAAGGGTTTGCGTCTCCAATTGTACTGACGTATAAGGCTGACAATGGGGAAGCAGGAGCGTGGGGGGGTAGTAGAGGGAGCTTACCATGTATAAACCACACGGTACACATTACATAGTACATCTGTTGGAAATCAGGGTCCAGTGTAAGTAAGACTGACAAGCACCCCCGGACTGTGGAGTAGCGCCGACGTGCGTAGGGTCGTCTATCGATTCTGTTGGAACAGCTGCGGGGGGAACGTCCTACACTCGCCACCGGTCTCTACGGTATCTGACGATTATGATCACCACATTTGTTTTTTTTTTCTTTTCTTTCCGGCCTATCTAGTTCGATAAAGAGGAAGGAGCCCACCGGTGGCGAGGTCTCGAGACCGGTCTGGAACCGCTTATGTCGGCGAACCCCCAAAGGGTGTTGGCGGCTCAAAGCAACTTTGGGCGGAACTCTCGAAATTGAAACCGGAGAATCAGGAGGGAAATTGAAATCGTCCATCGCCGATTCCCGGCAATTGGTACCGATCTTACTCTTCTGGCGCAGCAGATTTGTACGTAAGATTTTGCTTCTCGAAGCCAAAGCTAAGCGATGACCTATGTGATACACCACCCGCCAATCACAGATGATCATCATTCTTTCTCGAGACGTACCTGTTCAAACGTACCGTATGGATCCCACCAAGTTTAACGAGGTACTCGACCAGCAGGTCCCGGACGATGGACCCGTTAAGGGGTACCAGAGATGACACTTTGCTATACAGGAGTGTATGACACACACCGGCTATACGGGGACCAATAGAGATACGTGAAGCTATTCTTATAGGTGTCAATATAGCACGACGTTTGAATATACTGGCCTAAAGCTGAACCAAGAAGGCATGAGCATACACCTAGCATTCTCTTTGTCAACAGGTATTGACACCTCGTCAATCAGATCCAGTGCACATAGAAAGGAGAGATGCAAATAGTGACGGCCTCCCCCGTATAATGGATACTTCAACTAAGGGTCTCGAATATGACATTAGTCATTTCAGCTCAAAAACCAGACACTACGTAAACGTGGCTGGCGTTCTAATGGCTCTAACGTTGATTACACCAGCTGAAACCTGCTTGCCTACCTTACTGACCGATGCATAGCTGACCAGCTGACTATGCGTTTTAGGATCAGTCAATGAATGCAAGATGCAGCCCAGATCACCTAAGCCCTCGAGATCTCAGAGGACCTAGCCATTGAGGAAAGTAAACACGCGGCATTGGCTTGCAGAATGGCTGAGCTAAGCATCATATCCATGTCAGCCTAGGCTGTTGGTGGGTGAAGCGGAACTTGCAATGCTTTTTCTGAGAGGTGTCAGCATAGTGGTCCTTATTTTCGTCCGAAATGCTTGAGCCATTGGGACTAGGTACGGGATACCTCTTGTGGGTGGGATGGTTAACTATACATTTGTAGCTCGTGACCCAACTAGAATTCTCTAACTAGGTAGGTAGGAGGATATTGCACCGTAGAATAACATCACTATGGTCTATTCTAGTTAATGTTGGGTTGTAACTCCGTAATTGTTAGGTATCAAACCCTTTGGCTCCTGGCTGTATGGTAAGGGGGTACGTCTTATCACCATGGATAAGGAGAGACACATAGATAGCTAAGTGCTTGTTTTGGTAATAATTAAAAAAAAAATACCTTTATATCTTCTTATTTCCTAGCATCAGCAAAGAAAGGGCCAAAAGCAAAGTGCTGCGGTGAGTGCGGATCGAACGCACGGCCTTCAGATTAACGAATCAAGTGTTCCTGAAGTTGGACTTCAGTCTGACGCTCTCCCAGCTGAGCTATCCCCGCCGGCTATGCTAAATGGCTGTTTGTTTGTGACTATAATTCGTGCACGGAGCTTAGGGCCAGGTGGATTTTCGTAGCAGCGGGACTATAGGAGTGGATCTGCTAGTAATGACTCGATAGCTTCTAGCATGCCGAAGTAGAGCCGCATGATGGGGACAGAATCTAGATGATTTGGTTCACGGAGACACGAAAACATTCACTGTGTACCTATGCTAAGTTATTGGTTACCCAGGTTCGCTTGGGTACGATATGATATCTATGATACCTAAGGCACTCTTCACATTCATGGTGACAACAGACTTGATGGCCTTATCCCTCACACACCTATACACCTTGATATACAACCCCTGATAAGGGTAAGAAAGGAGTCAAGTATGAACGAGAAAAGGCCAAAAGTCAAGGAAAAAGTCAAGAAGAGGATGATACGTACAACACCAGGGATTCGCTGGTCGTCACCGACCCAACTACTAGTCCGGCAGTATCCAGCTTGTCTAGGGGAGAGCGGACGGGATCCCGAATTTTCTAGATCTTATGGTCGTACGTGGAAGTACGATGTGCTACAATTGTATATATCATGTTCGGGTGATGGGGTTGTGCCCAGGTGTTGAGTCTGGACTGACCCCTGAGACGATATAGTTGGGACCCACTTACGATGGCTATAGGAGTATAAGTTAACGAATACTCACGGGGAGTATCAATATTCTACTTTCGTGCCTTCGGTGCTGGTTAGGTTGTTCTTGTATGGATTAAAGTTGCTCATCTGCCCCCCCCTAGATGTGATTGTGATATGATGGTTCCAGTGGATAGCAAGTGTCTTTACTTGAATACGTCCGTGAGTACATATTGATGTATCTTGGGGGCGAATAAATGTAAACAACGGGCATCTTATTATAAAGTTTCCTGTTATTCTGAGTAGGGGGCTGTTAGTGCTGGGTCCTGATAGGGGGCTATGTCTGGACTGCACGTGTACACGAATGGCCTTTTGCAGTTACCTGTGTAGCTCTTTGCGCAGTGTCTTTATTGCTTCCGTGCCTTAGTTATAACTGACATTGGAAATATATTGCCGGAGACCAAGCACAGTGGCTTAATACGAAGTCTACATCTCCCTCTTATGATACTATCTAGAAAGCAGATTTTGTGGTCTCCATGAGGAATAATTCTAAGATTTGCACCATTATAGGCGTTATTGGCCGGTTGCAATTTTCCCGCACAGCACTACATTCTCGCCAAGGGGTATCCAGGTTGTGTTGGCAAGCCGAGCCACAGCGTTCGGCTTCCCATCTGAGCTAGTCTGGCGTGGAGGGGAAACGAACACGCTCCCCTGGCCGAGCCATGTTGGCGCAATGGTTACGATGACAGAGTCAACCAATTGAGCATTATCTTTAGAGAGAAGGGAGTTTACCACCGCGCCGCCGCCCTCAATCATGATACTCTGTAATCCCTCTTTTCGTACGGCTGCTAAGATGGAACGCCAATCGAAACGCAGGCCGCTTGAAGCCGCACTGGTTTCGTCGGCTTTGATGGGGTTTAGGACGATATATTTCCCGCCCAGATCTTCCAACAGTTTGATCTTGTTCTTCGGGGGCTGCGGCACAGCCGTTACGATGTAAGGGGCTAAGCCTTTGCCCGTCCGAGCCAACTGCATAACTCTGCTCTCGGCAGTAAAGTCCCAACGAAGTCCCGGGTCAATAACTATTGGCCGCGGCTGGCTCGTGGTAATCCCGTTGTTTGTCTCTCTTATAGCGGCCTCGCCCGTCGAGACAGAGGCAAGTCCTAACAGAGCTCCAACGCCGGCAGAGGACGAACTTTCCCGGTGCCGTGTCTCAGCTGCGATGCGGCAATTCAAGCCCGGATCGTCGGCAATGGCGGTTCCAACCCCAATGCATATGGCGTCGTGGCGGCTACGAAGGTAGTGCGTCATGGCCTTGGATTGGGGCCCGGAGAGGGTGGTCCTGATACCTGGTCCAAGAGACAACGCCGAATCGAGCGAGGTAGCAAATGTTAGGGTGACGAAAGGTAATGCGGTCGGTGAAACGCCGTTCTCATGGGATTCTCTCGAGCCTGCCGAGGGGGGTGGTAGGTGAGGCTCCAGGCGTTGCGCTTCCGCAGATGGGAACACTAATAGAGCCATTTTTGCATTTGGGATAAGCCGCTTAGACTTCTGAGCAGTGGGATGCGGCTTTAATCGTAGCTTTTATGTCGATACCTGTATGGCTACGTAGGAGATATAGCTCCTACTTCCGTTATAGACTTCAATAGGGTCCTTTGGGTGGGCTAGATATTATCAGATAACATGATATTACTCGCTGATGAGCTTGATAAGGACGTTGAAGTTGAACGCTGCCCAATCTAGCCGACCTCTGGATATAGGAATAGCCCCGGGTAATTCATAATGCATCACTGAGAAACTGTACCTGCATGTATCTAGGTACTTTTCGGGGTGTCACGGAGTTGTAGCTTGCGCCTATCACGAACTAGTGGACCGGAGGTGAATATAAAACTGGACCTGTTGATATCAACTTATCAATGAGTGATGCAGCTTCGTTATTTCCTTAGGTACCTTGGAGTGATTGTTAATTGAGACTCCGAATGGAATGTCTTCACACTTACTTACCTAAGGTATGACTTAGCCAGGATGTTAAATAACCTTGATCCGATCATAAGGGCTACTTTCAGGATTTGTCACGGTCATGTCGGACGGCATATCGAATCGGAATGTTAAGTGCATACGAGAAAGGCAAGTGTTGTTTCTTACCGCCAATCAGAGGCGATATAAGATCCGGGGGGGCGGGGGGCGCCCGGGC